CCTCTCTCCCCACAACCATCCACCCCTCCCCTTTAACTAGTGCCAGCAATCTTCCTCTCTCTCTCTCTCTCTCCTCATTGCAAATCATCCATTTTCCAACCAAAACATCCACCATTAGTTACAATCACAACCCACATTATACATTTAGAGGTATATTAATAATTTCTTCTTAATGAATTAAATGTAATTCATGTTAACATGTGTTAACTTGATTTCATAAAATGTTAGGATTTTAAATTAAGAATTATGTTAATTAGATATAATTTGAGTTGATAATTAGGTTATTTTATAAAATAATCAATGATTTTAGGTTGTTGCTGATTGTGTCAATCAAGCTTATTATTTTGGTGTACCACTATGTATTCATGAAAGTATAAATTTAATGTTTGAGTTTACAGTGATTAATGAGATTAATATGCTAGAGCTCTATTTCAATAATAGATCTAGATAAAGAAACTCTTTTAATATGGAGTTGACTTAGGTTCCAAATAACTCTCAAAGAATCACACAAGTATCATAAGCAGCTAGTCATCTAGGTTAGGTGGCAATGTAAGTAGAAAAATATTAGTGGAGGAAATTGTTAATGTGGAACCTTAGTTAAGTATGACATCTGTTTCATATTTCTATGAAGAATCTAAATCAAGTAACAATGAAGATGACCATCACATTGATAAAATTGACATTGAGGAGGAAAATAAGGATACTGATACTGAGTTAGTTGAGCTTGTTAATCACTATATGGCTCCTCCTACTCCTGAAGTTAAGGTTGTGAATATAGATAACCAATATAGATACAATATCTAGGTTAATTGTCGTAGGCATCTAAGCTTATTAGTTGATGAATTAGAGATTAAAAAAAAAACAAATTTGAATGTATTACTATAGTAAAAATATGGCATATAAAAAACTCATTGCAATACAAGGTTCATCATTAAATTAAAACTTATGTGTGTAGTTACAATGTGTTTAGGAACTAGTTTGTAGATGATATTTGCATGAAAAATATCATCAAAAATCTAATTCATGAAAATTTTCAAAATTTAAAGGGCCATACATACGTCAAAACCTTTATATTTTAAACATTATTATCAGGTTGACTCAAATCTCATTATTGAGATGATGTTGACAATTCTGAAGAGATATTTAAGTATGAGTGTTATAATGGTTAAGGTATTGTAGAGAGGGATTATAAGCATTACGTTTTCTATTGGAAGGCGTAGATGACCAAAAAAAGATATTAGAGTGGTTATTTGATACATATAAAGAATATTTTAAAATCTACGTAGAATGTTGGTGGCTATCACATATTTAAATTTAGAAATAATTATCACTTGGAATCATAAAATGCTTAATAACAATAAGATAATATTTGGAAAAGCATTTTGGGTATTTGGTGCTTCAATTGATGGGTTTCAATAGTCATTCTTTAATTAGTATTGATGCTACTCACCTTTATGGTATGTATAAGAAAAAATTATTAATTACAGTTATTAATGATGTAAATAATGAAGTTTATTCATTGTTTCTACTATCAGTGAAGAAGATACAAACAATAATTGGAGTTCATTAATTGAAGTTCATTTTTATATTTGTCTCGAATTGACAATCACATTGAACTATATATTATATCAAATATACATGCATTAATTAAGAGTTTTATATCATAAGTAACTTCAATATTAAGTTAAGAAATATGGCCTTGAAAAGTACATTGCATATGACATGTATTAATCCTTCTAAATAGCAATTTAATATTTTAAGATTTGATGGAGACTGATAATGCAGCTAGAGCATGGCTTAAAGTTAAACCTAGAGAAAAACAAGATAAACAGGCAATTTCATATGATTTTGGTGGTTACAAATGCTATTCGCTACTATCAAGAGATGCTATACTCATTCAAGTGTGCTCGTTCCCTAGCTAAACTACTTTTTCGCTTTTGCTATTTTATTAAAAAAATAAAAATAACGTGCTAAGTTTAAAAAACACTCTTAATTCTAGACAGGGAACTAAAAACGATACTTTAGTATGTGTTTCTGAAATAAGTGTAACTAATGAATCATCAATGCGGGAAAATCCAAATACACTGCCTTGTTCCATATCCACATTTAATTTTGAAATAAATATTTCGTGCGCTATCCTCGCATCATAGCTGATCTCTTGAAATTGATGTCGAATAGATCCTACAATTCTCAAGGTTTTCATTCTTTGAAACAATTCAGCTGCACCATACCACATGCCCCTTGAGAAAGGACGCAGCAATGGCCTGGTATCGTCATATAAAGAAATACAGAAAAACTCCAAGAAATTGGAATTTCATCAAGGAACAATAATTAAAAACAGATTGTCAAGTGCAAAAATATGTTCATCATCCATCTACGATATAAAGCAACGAGGTCCCAGCAACAAAAAAGCACATGAACAAAACTAACACCAAGGACACAATGATGATCTAAAGTCTAGAATTCTTGGAGCTCTTAATTAGGTTCTCACTTCTTGGATTTCTTTGATCCCCTGTAAGCCAAAGAAAAAAAAAGATCAAGATGTTGAACCACAACAAGTGGGTTTTTAATGCATGTAAAATCCTGTCAAAAAGATGCTTACTGGGCTGGTTGAGGTGCGGCAGCAGCAGGTGGTGCAACTACTGGTTTCTCTGCGCCAGGTCCCTGAACAAAATCAAAACAAAAATATTTCAACTTCCCTTGCAATAGCGGGAATCCAATAGGGATCTACATAAAACTTCTGATTTTGATTCTTTTATAAGATTCAATTGAGAATGATAGAAAAAATCATCAAGATTTGAGCAGATTGAAATTCACTCATAATCATTGCACTCACCACATGATACGAATTGAAAACTCACAAAATGATCCGCTAAACACTTACAAGATTATGTGACTAAAAGGATCACACTTCACTTATCAAGAGGACTAAACAAAAAGAACCTAATCTTTGATATTCCCATGTTCTTAACATGGTTATAACAGGGAAATACAGCCAAGGTTCAACTATCTTACCAAACAAATCAATAAAGAACAATAAATTTCAAGCATCGAGTAACTATATCAATGCTGCTATACATCTTACCTGGGCCAAACGTTCCTCCCTCCTAGCAAATTTCCTTTCTCTGCTTGCCTTGTTCTTTGCCCTCTTAGCCTCAAACTGGTCAGACAAAGTCTTCTCTCTAGCCTTTTCAGCCTTTGACTTGTGAATGCTCTCCATAAGAACTCTCTTGTTCTTGAAGACATTACCCTTCACCTTCATGTACATGTCATGGTACATGTGCTTGTCAATCTTCTTGGACTCCCTGTACTTACAAAGCAGCCGCCTGAGGACACGCATTCTCCTCATCCAGAGAACTTTAGTTGGCAACCTAGCCTCCCTTGTACCCTTGCGCTTACCTAGAGTAGTTTTAAAGAGCTTTTAGTTAGCAAGCTTTTTCCCACAAAACATATAGGAAATGAACCAGCCAAAGACAAATGATATGAATAAAAGAACTCATAGCACCATTCCCAATGTAATTAATAGGTATGCCATCTAAAAATTTCAGTTTTTCTCTTAAGAACTTTTTTTTCACATGTCTAATAAATCGAGTTCAAAACAAATATTAGTGAAAGTCCAGGATAGAGATACAAACAGAAGAATATAACACATGAACAGTGGCCTACTTCTACAGAAAAAACTTGGGTTTTTTTCCAAAAAATATTTCATAGAGCTCCATTCTTCAACAACTCCCAAGCTCAAACATACAATTAAAATTGCAAACTCTAAATAGTCAAATGGTTCAGATTAAATATACCATATCCAGAGTGCCTTCCCTTTCTCTTGGCTTCCTTCATGCGACGGGCACGAGATCGAGAGTGAATCTTTGTTGGCTTCCTGATGATGAAACCATCCTTTACCAACTTCCTAATGTTTTGGCCTGCATTGTACAAAGTGAATGCATAAATCAAACAATACCCAAACAGCAACTGTTCCCCACCCCACACAGATGAATTTATTGCTATAAGCATCAATGATGGTGCATGGCAGCTTCCATCGTGTCAGAAATTGAGCCAACCAAAATACAACGTTGCAATACCAAAACCAAATCAAGTACAAACGAGGATGAATTTTATAATTCTTACAAAAACTACTTCATTAAAAAAATGACAAGTATTTTACCACCCCTCCAACCCTATTGGCAAAAAAGAAACTTAAAATCCAGTGAGATTAAATTGCAAATGGGCTGCAGAATCTAAAAAGACGATTAACAAGTGATTATGATTATTATTACTATGATACCTTGGACTACTACAGAATTCCGGAATCACCATTCCTAAAAGTATGATAATAAGAGAGAAGAGATGGGGAAGGCATTTACGAGAGTTAGCCATGGAGATTTCGTTGACTTCATTTGGATCAAGCCAAACCTTGCCTTTCCCACACTTTAGAACGCTAGCGGAAAGCCGCTTTTGGAGCTTCAACGACACCATCTCCCTGTTTCTTGATCACTCTCCCTCACACTTTGCAGCTGGGAGGATAGCAGAAGCGTTTTCTGTGAAGCGGAAGCGGCTGTTTATAGCATGCTAGCCCTAGTTTCAGTAACTCCCCTCGCTAGGGTTTTTCACTCTGTAGGCTTCTTTGGGTTTAAGAAGATGGGCCTAAACTTATTCGATATAATTTTCTGTTTTAAATTGGAGGCCCATTGTCGGGTTAGGCATATATAGAAAAGCCTAGAAGGCCCAATTAAATTATTTTTATACTTTTTTTTTTCTAGTGAGAAAATTAAGATTTTTTTATTTCACGATAAAGATATTTATATCATTTCGTTTCAAATGAGAATTATTATTATTTTTATTATGTTAAAAGCATAGTGATGCATAAAATTAAAAATTTAAATAAAAACTATAATATTTTTATTTAAATATATCTTTATTTTAGTTATACAAGGATATTTTACAAGCCATATGGTATTGTGATATATAAAAATGTGAATTAAAATTCTTAATTTGTGACATTGCACCATTGAAATTTGAATTAAAAACTAGGAATTTTTGTAAGAGCACTATATCATACATACATATGGAAAAGCACTAGTATTTTTTTTTTATTTATTTTTTTCCATATACTTTACAAGAGGCTCTATGCTTGAGTAATTTGATTCCCAACTTTGTTTTTCTCATCTTCTTCTTCTTGCTTCAAAGTGTCATAAAGAGGAGCGTTTCTTGTCTCAGGTAGCCACCAACTTAAAACTCCACTAAAAATGGAGAGGATCCCAAATACGAGGAAAGAAAGAGATGGACTTAAGCGACCGGCAGCAACTAGCAATGGTGCTATTGAAGCACCCAACATCAAGGCTTGTCTTGATTGCGACACGGCAAAGTTTCTCACATTGGTTGGGAATAGCTCAATGCAATAAACATACAAGACATCGAATGCCACTGAAGCAGCCATGAAACCAATTCCTTCAATAGCCAGTTGAGCCCAATTCCCAGTACTGGATTTGTCAGCGTTCTTTGCGCGTTTTCCATGAGCGAAAACGATGCAAAGAAGGCAAGAAATCCCAGCTAGAAAAGCAGAGAGTGAGAAGAGAAGTCGCCGGCCAGTGAGGCCCAAGAGTATAGTACCGATGACAACTGCAGGAACCTCCATCAATGCGTTGAGTCCAACAGAGAAATAAAGGTTGAAATTCAGGTTCTCAACATTCAGTTGAACACCATAGTAAACAAAACCAATTCCGAAACCTGCCATCATTACTGTGATCATTCTTTTAGCAGCCCATTTTGTCCTCCACAGGCTTTCTTTTGTGCAATTTTTTGTCAACGCTTCATTTTCACCACCCTCTCCCGGTGCTGACGGATTGGCAAGACAGAGGTTTTCGGGCAGTGTCTTGCCATTAAGCCTTGCGAAAGTTTTCAAAACATCAAGGGCTTCTTTGCTCCTTCCCCTAACAAGAAGCCAGCGCGGAGATTCTGAGACAAAAGGGAAGAACAAGACAGAGTAGGCTAGAGGGAGAAGTGATAAAATCTTGTATAAATTCCTCCAATTTGTTCTTGTATGATAGGCAATTAAAGGCAGGGAAAGAAATCCTGCAGTGAAGAAAAAGAAGCCATATTGACTAACTGGACCACGCCATTTTCGTCCGACCACTTCTGTAGCTAGAACAATACAGCAGATTCCTATTCCAGATCGAGAAAAACCATTTGCGAATCGAAGCAAAGAATATACCCAGATGTTCGGTGAGAGGGATGTAAGGAAAGCGGTGACAGAGGTTAAGAGACATGAGAGTAGCACTGTTCTTTTTCGGCCCAGGGATGCGTCTGCTAGGTGGCCAAAAAATGCAGAACCTGCTTGCCAAATTAACATTTCACGAAGTTAATCACTGTAAATCAGGCGTAAAGTAATGTTCTTTAAGAAAGTTGTTTGGTATCTTCTCATTCTTTTTTATCGTACGTGTTTCGTCACATAATAAAAACGACAGCGACTTAACTATTTATTATTTTTCATACTCATCTAATCCAAAATGCTCCCCTGGAACAGAGAGGATCTGAACTAAGATAATGAAAATGATTATTCCTGAGATTCATAGAGATTAATGTCGGGACATGTAGTTCATTACCTAAGAGGGAACCAAGAAAGAACAGTGACGCAGGTGTAGCAGCAAGGAACCTGCGGTCACAAATGAGACCCCATTCAGCAATAATGGAACTTGTATGGCCATTGACCCATTCCCAAGTGTCTGGCATCAGTCCACAAACAGAAGAGGCATCACCATTGCTGCTACTAGACAAGCACAGAGACGACGATGAATTATTTATGCATCTCCAAGCAGATGGTTGGGCATCACTGAAGATGGTAACCAATGTGTTCTGTGAATCAAATATCCATGCTAGTGAAACCAAGAGCACATGTAAGAACTGTGACCACCCGAAGGATCCTACATACTCCTCCAACACCTCCTCCACTGTCAGCTCTAGGTTTGTTGCCGGTTGTGGCGCTACTCTTTCTGCTAACTGTAGGTTTCCATGCTCAAGGTTTTGTGCCTGGTCTTCCATATCTTTTCCCAACTGTTGGGTATCGAAGACAAGCCAATGTCTTGCTTCTGAGCATATATTTTTGCCATTTTGCCTATCTATATATAGGCGTTAGCTTTGCCACGAGTTACACAAAAAAACAAATTAAATTCTCAAGATGCGAGGGATTTTGAGCGAAGTACTTAGAAATTAACTACGTCCTTCACTATCTAGAACATGCAGTAGCTAGAAGATCAAAGCAATACGTAAATTTCTAATGGTTTTCTAATACATTTTGGGATCGTCATGGTGATTTTATCAAAACATCAAGCACATTAGCAAGAAACTCAAAAATTTTAATTTACAACTTCACAATTTATTATCCATGTTTGATTCATATGTTGTAGCATATATTCATATTAATTATAGCACAATGAACACAACAGTCGAACTGATAATGGTCCACTGGATGAACCAGAAACTTAACTAGATCAATGTCCAGATCATGTTTAATAACATTGATTATTATACTATCAAAGCTATAAGTTTTAACACAAGTGATCACTTATTAGTGCTATATACTTGGTTTGCCTAATCTTTATAAAAAATTTTAAAAAATAAAAACAAACAAGATTACAGAGGAAGTGACAGCTGCACAAAATTGTAGGAACATATCTGATAATCTATCGTATTGGCAACTATAAAAGGCTGCTGGGACCAAATCACACAGACATATCAAATCAATACAGTGTTGTTCGGTTGAAGCACTCAACGGCAATAAAACTCGTCAGCTTGAAATTTTAACTAATTGATAAATCAGAGGGCTCAGCATATCCCAGCCCAGCCGATTTGATTAATGTAATGTTCGTTTTTTCTGTTTAAAAAGCATTTTAATTTTTTTTTTTAAAAGTTATTTTTTTATTTGTGTTTTGATATCATTTAAAAAAAATATTATTTAAATATATTTTTTAATAAAAAATAATCATAACTACACCGCATTTTAAATCAGAAAATAATAAAAAAAGAAAGATAAATCAAATATATTCATAATGTTCAGAAGAATCGTTACTGTGAACAAGTCAACAGAATAGACTGGCAAGCCGGATAAATTGTAGTGGGTATTATCTTTTTAACTGTTTTTTAATATTTTTTATTTTTTAAAATTTATTTTTCATATTAATATATTAAAATAATTTAAAAAATATAAAAAAATAATTTAAAATAAAAAACTAAATTTTTTCCAGAAATACTACGCTTCTTAACGCACCCTTTTATGTATAAATAAAAAAATAATTTTTTATAATATTAATTTTAAAATTTATAAAATTAATTAAAATATATCCAATATTAATAAAAAAAGAAGTGAAAAGGCAACTTTCTATTTTTCAAAGCTATAGTTCCCCCCTTGTGTTTGCTGTCACAGCAGTGGCCATAACTCAATAATTCAAGAGTGTTATTTTAACTTTCGTGGTTGAGATTATAATCAGGTATAATCTAATTATATATAAAATTTAATTATAAAAATTAATATTTTTTATTTTTTATAATTTTTTTAATGAATTTCATATCCAAACCACAACTTTCACCTTTCATCGCTAAAACAAACACACATAAATTTATTGATAAGAAGACATGTTCACCACTCATGAAGACAACATTCGAAAATAATGCGATTAAGGGCTGTGATCAAAACCTCGTAGCTTAGCCATCCTCTTTCCAGACGTCTCCTGTGTCTTTCTATCAAAACCTTGTTGCTCAACCACTTATGTTTTCTCGATTTATCTTTCATTGGAAGCCCATTTTATAAGTGTCACCATTTGTTTTTAACCACCATTTTTTAGCATATTTTCAAAAAAAATCTTAAAATATTATATTTTTTTATTCAATTTGATTATTTTACGGCCGTTTTATAATTTTCATCCCCTTTGCGATAATCATTTTATAATTAAAAAAATAAAAGAAAAAACAGAAGAAAAGAAATAAAAAAGAATTAGTGAGAGAAACGATAATACATAAAGTTCTTGCCCCTTCTTAAGGCCATCAGAAGATAATGACGGGGAGAGAGAGAGTAGAAGGTGGGAGAAGGTTCGAGAAGATAAGAAAGGAAAGAAAAATAAAGGAGATTATAAATAGAGATAGGTCCACAAGGGAAGGGAAATAGAAAAAACAGAGAGAGAGAGAGAGAGAACCTGGACACCCCGTCCCTTTCCCTCCTCTACGAGTCACCAGTCCGACAATTAATGCAGACAACATTGTCACAAGAGCTCATCCATAAAAACATCCATGGCAGCACTGTAACAACCACTAGCTTCACCATTTCCTGTCTCCACCATGAACCCGAACCAACCCACCAACAAACCTTCTCTCCCTCGTTAGCCAACCACGATGCGCCAACGTAAGTGGCGGCACGACTACATGCTCCGGTTATTTCTCAAGGTTGATATCGAACCCCAAATAAATTTTGAAATTTTTAGAAGTTATTGAATTTTTCATGTCAAAATATTGATTATTGATGATGATTTCATTTGATTGATAATTGTGATTATTTGAAGTGATGTGTCCATATTACTGTGTAATAACCCTCGGATATGATATTGTAGACAGTGGCGGAGGCAGGGGGGGGCTGGCAGGGGTCCCGGGCCCTGCCCCTGCAGGAAATTTTTTTCCCAGCCCCCTTTTTTATAAATATTGTAAAAATAATTAAAAATTTAATTTTATTCCTTATAATTTTTAATTTGGCCCCCTTAGTTTTTTTTTCTTGCTCCGCCCCTGGTTGTAGAGGAATTTATTTTTTATTTTATGATTTTGTTTTAAGGAAAAAAATAAAGTTTATTTTCCTTTCCTTGTGAATCTGGATTTGTAGATTCAAG